TATATATATAAAAAGGAGAAGGGGATATTTTAAAGAAGCTGGTTGAATTATTTGCATCTATCTTTACTCCAAAATGTGCAAGTCAGGTCCCTATGTCTGAACTTTCTCAGAAGAACTGGAACAAAGAGTGTTGGCAAGAGACAAAGGACGAGGGGCCTCTCCAGATTGGTGGGGTTTTTTTTCTTTTTTCAATTATATTCTGAAACCTGTTATCAATGCAATAATATCCCATCTGCTTTATTAATTGTTCTGTAAAGCTCCCCCAATGTATACTGCATTACTGCCATGGGGGCAGGCACTCTTCCACTATAGCGCAAGAAGAGTGGCACACAAAAACAAAAACATGGAACACTGGTGGCATCAAAGGCTGATTTCAACAGGAAGTTTGCCCGTGTGGAAATGAGGCTCTCTCCCCACCTGTGCAATTAAAAAAGGATCCTATTGGGTTGAAAAAGCCTTGGCAGCTGCCCAGCACCTCTGCTTAGCATGCAGATGTTCTGTGTGGTAAATGATCTTGCATAGAGGAAACAGCAACTGTAGTTCAAAACCACAAACCCCAAGATTAACGGGCTTCCTTTTCATGAGGCTGTTCCTGTTTTGCTGCTTAGTTTGCTACTACTTTACCAAAGGAAGCCAAAGTGTAAAAGTGCATTAACTTTCTGTGCTGTTGCCCAGACAAAACTGCAGAAGCAAAATCAAGTCAAGCAATGAGTGCAATTCTTACCCTGGTATCATTCAGGGGTTGTCCACCTGGTCCCTCCTGCCCACTAGGGGGCGTTTCAGGATTCTAGGTGGGCGGGAGGGGGTTCTACGGCACAAGCTGAATCCTCCTTCCATCGAGCACTGGGGGGTGGTAAGGAAATTTTACCATCAAGAAAAAGGCATTAGTGGGCAGTAGGTATAAAAAGGTTGACACCCCTGATATAGTTGGTTGGAAAAGTTAAAAGTGTTAAGCTTCCGGGGTGACTGCAAGATGGCGAGGAAGTAAGAGTCTTAGCCTCCAAGAAAGACTCTGCCATCAAGAGACTTTTGGGGTGCGCACAAGGACGCTGTGCCTCCAGAAAGAAGCCCAAAGAGAAGATTTGGGCGTGGAGCTTCGGCAGCGCTAAATTGCGGGTTCTTGTGTCTCCCCCACCAAAAAAAGAGGGGGGGGATTGAGATGGGATTGAGCGGCAGAGGTGCAAGAAGAAAACAACAAGTCTCTGGTGGAAAGCCCTGAACTTCAGCCTCAAGCAGTAATATTTTTCAATAAATTTAAAGCCACATTGGTAAAATAAATTGAAAAATTGGAACAGGACAATTAATTGGCAAAAAACTGACAAGGTGAAAAAAATGGAGGTTCACTTTGTGCTGTCAAAATTTAACTTGGAATTCATAGATGCCAACGAAATGAGATATTTCATGGAGCCCCAGATCGAGGGAGGTTGACAATTATTTTGTGATTCTTCCGTTTGCAAATTATTGCACCAACTGTTGTCACCTTTTCACCAAGCTGCTTGGCAATAGTCTTGTAGCCCAGTCCAGCCTTGTGCAGGTCTACAGTCTTGTCCCTGACATCCTTGGACAGCTCTTTGGTCTTGGTCATGGTGGCCACTTTGGAATCTGCAGGACTGATTGCTTCTGTCGACAGGTGTCTTTTGTACAGGTACTGTTACGAGCTGGAATTACAGGTGAGACTTCTCCCTTACAGCGGGTGCTTCTAATCTCAGCTCGTTACATACAGTGAAGATACCAGGTAGCCAGGCATCTGGCTGGTTGATAGGGGATCAAATACTTATTTCACTCATTATAATGCACATCAATCTCTGACTTTTGTCCTCTGGGTTTCTGGGGGTTTTCCTGTTGTTATTCTGTCTCTCACAGCTACAATAAACCTACCATTAAAATTATGAACTGGTCATTTCTTCATCAGAGGGCAAACGGGCAAATTTAGCAGGGGATCAAATACTTTCCCCCATCACTGTAATATTGCTTTTAAAGTGTAGCAGTAGCAGCAGCAGTGGTAATATTGCTTTCAAAGTGTTGTTGTTGTTAATTAGATTATTACCCACCCAGAAGAAGAGTGGCAGTTAAAATTGACAGAATATGTTGAATGGGCAAATTTTACCATGAAATTAGAAATCAAGAAGCAGCAGATTTTAAGGATTGGAAATGTTTTCTAGAATATCTAAAGTGGATGTAGCCTACCTTGATTTCAGCAAGGCATTTGACAAGGTGCCCCATGATATTCTTGTAAAGAAGCTGGTAAAATGCGGTCTTGACTATGCTACCACTCAGTGGATTTGTAACTGGCTGACTGACCGAACCCAAAGGGTGCTCATCAATGGTTCCTCTTCATCCTGGAGAAGAGTGACTAGTGGGGTGCCACAGGGTTCTGTCTTGGGCCCGGTCTTATTCAACATCTTTATCAATGACTTGGATGATGGATTCAAGGGCATCCTGATCAAATTTGAAAATGACACCAAACTGGGAGGGGTGGCTAACACCCCAGAGGACAGGATCACACTTCAAAACGACCTTGACAGATTAGAGAACTGGACCAAAACAAACAAGATGAATTTTAACAGGGAGAAATGTAAAGTATTGCACGTGGGCCACAAAATGAGAGGCACAAATACAAGACGGGTGACACCTGGCTTGAGAGCAGTACATGTGAAAAGGATCTAGGAGTCTTGGTTGACCACAAACTTGACATGAGCCAACAGTGTGATGCGGCAGCAAAAAAGCCAATGCAATTCTGGGCCTCATCAATAGGAGTATAGCATCTAGATCAAGGGAAGTAATAGTGCCACTGTATTCTGCTCTGGTCAGACCTCACCTGGAGTACTGTGTCCAGTTCTGGGCACCACAGTTCAAGAAGGACACTGACAAACTGGAACGTGTCCAGAGGAGGGCAACCAAAATGGTCAAAGGCCTGGAAACGATGCCTTATGAGGAACGGCTAAGGGAGCTGGGCATGTTTAGCCTGGAGAAGAGGAGGTTAAGGGGTGATATGATAGCCATGTTCAAATATATAAAAGGATGTCACATAGAGGAGGGAGAAAGGTTGTTTTCTGCTGCTCCAGAGAAGCGGACACGGAGCAATGGATCCAAACTACAAGAAAGAAGATTCCACCTCAACATTAGGAAGAACTTCCTGACAGTAAGAGCTGTTTGACAGTGGAATTTGCTGCCAAGGAGTGTGGTGGAGTCTCCTTCTTTGGAGGTCTTTAAGCAGAGGCTTGACAACCATATGTCAGGAGTGCTCTGATGGTGTTTCCTGCTTGGCAGGGGGTTGGACTCGATGGCCCTTGTGGTCTCTTCCAACTCTATGATTCTACACTCCCAGTACGTTTCCAAGCACAATTCAAAGTGTTGGTAATGACCATTAAAGCCCTAAACGGCCTCGGCCCTGTATACCTGAAGGAGCGTTTCCACCCCCATCATTAAGCCCAGACACTGAGATGCAGCACTGAGGGCCTTCTGGCAGTTCCCTCACAGACGTGAAGCTACAGGGAACCAGGAAGAAGGCCTTCTTGGTAGTGACACTCACCCTGTGGAACGCCCTCCCATCAGATGTCAAGGAGATGAATAACTACCATTTTTTTCGCCCTATAGGACGCACCGGCCCATAGGACGCACCTAGTTTTCAGGGGGGGAAATCAAGGGAAAAAATATGATTCCCCCCCCCCCGCAGCTCTGGGAGCAGTGGACAGGCTGCACGCAGCCTGTGCGCTACTCCAAGACCTTCTCCCTGCTTTTGCAGGAGGTGGCGGAATTCCCCCACCTCCCGCAAAAGCCCACAGGAGCCCCGCGTGACTCCTGCGGGCTTTTCGAACAGGAGGGAGAAGGGACTGAAACAGCCAGTCAGTCCCTTCTCCCTCTTCAGGGAAAAGCCCCCAAGAGCGGCGCACTCTTTAAAGGGTGCGCGGCTCCTGCAGGCTTTTCTAGGTGGTGGGGGAATTCCCCCCCCATAGAAAAGCCAGCAGAAGCCGCGGAGCCCCTTTGAAGAGCGCGCGGCTTTTGCCTGCTTTTGCGGGAGGTGGGGGAATTCCCCCATCTCCCGCAAAAGCAAAAAGGAGGGTTGGAGAGTAGCGGGAAGGCGTCACGCACCTTCCTGCTGCCCCCCATCCTCAGGGGCTGGCGATGGGGGAAGCGCTGCTTTCCCCACCGCCAGCCTCAAACCCGGGTTGGAGAGTAGCGGCAAGGCGTCGCGCGCCTTCCTGCTGCCCCCCATCCTCTGGGTCTGGTGATGGGGGAAGCGCTGCTTTCCCCCACCGCCAGCCTCAAAGAGCAGACTCTCCTGGCTTCAGCGGAAGCAACGCAAAGCCTCCGGAGCGCAGGCTTCGGAGGCTTCACGTTGCTATCGCTGAAGCCAAGAAGTCTGCATTCGCCCCATAAGACGCACACACATTTCCCCTTCATTTTTGGAGGGGAAAAAGTGCATCTTATAGGGCGAAAAATACGGTATATAACCTTTAGAAGACATCTGAAGGCAGCCCTGTACAGTCAAACCTCAGTTCCCAAATGCCTCCGTTTCGGAACATTTCAGCTCCCAAACGCCGAAAACCCAGAAGTGTTCCAATTTTTGAACTTTTTCTGTTAGCCGAATGTCCAACATGGCTTCCACTTGAGTGCAGGAAGCTCCTGCAACCAATCAGAAGCTGCGCCTCGGTTGTCGATCATTTCAGAAGCCTAATGGACTTCCAGAATGCATTACGTTTGACAACCAAGGTTTGACTGTATCGTGAGGTTTTAAAAGTTTAATGTTTTATTATGTTTTTGTATATGCTGGAATTATTAATATGGAAACGGTGCTGACTAGGAGAGCCCTTGGTCTGATCCAGCAGGGCTCTTTTTCCACACACCCCTTCCGAAATTCACCATACAAACATATAGCACAAAAGCATTTTGGCTTTTTTGTTTCCTCACTTGTGCAAATTCAACAGTAAGCACCAAAAATCAACTGTTTTTAAAAAAATTAAAGATTTTTGAAAGAGGAACTATGTCTCAAGATAAAGGCAGGCTGCAACTTGGGAAGACAAGTTAGCTTTAATGTTCATGTTAGGTGGGGAAAAACTCTTCCAAGGATGCAAGGAGTGAGAGGTGTCCAGCTCACAGCTGTTCAGTCCACCTTCGCCATAAAGGTTATGGGAAGTCGCTATAGGGCAACTGCAAAGGGTAGAGCAGCCTGTATCGCGAGTCATGCCACAGCAGCTTCTCTTCCAGGAAGGCAACTGTATCCAGGGTCAGCACTAGGGTCTCGTACTTCAGCATACTGTGCACATTGAGACCTGTGAGGAAAAAAGACACAGGAGTCAGGCTGTATCTCTAATGAGACCTGGGCCCAAAGAGCAGAAGGGTAGCAATGGCAAGACATGACAAGAAGACTAGCTTGGATGCAAGAGACAGGAAGGGGGGCCAGTGAGGGGAAATGTCATAGTGCTGCCTTCCATCCAGAAGATCCGAGGTTCCATCCCCAGCATCTCCAGGTGGACAGCCTGGGGTGTTTTTCTTTTCATTTATTGCATTTGAGCCCTTATAGGAACTGGCCTTGTTATGCAATCACTGGTGCTCTACAGTCAGATATGGATATATTGGCTACATTATTCACTGTCAATGTTAGCACAAGTCATAGTAAATATCCTCAGACTGTTAACTATAAAGCTGACCAATTAACTCAAGAACTTGCTTAAGAATATGCCTTTGTCCTGTGTGTGCACGCACTTTACTATACTTTGTTTCTTGTTTAAACTACAGTGTAAGGCCAATAGTCATAAGCAGTAAAGGATGAAGTAAAGAATATCAATAGACAGATATGGATAGATGTTTTGTGCATTGAAACTGCTGTGCTGTATGAAGAATTAGAGACTGGGTGGGATGCTTGCCTGCAACTGCCTCAGCATCCTACTCCACCCAGACTAAGTATGCAGTGAGTCATTCTGCAGAAGGCCCTGCCCATTCTCCCCAACCCCACTCACCTACGGCTGGTAGGACTGTGATGGTTTTAAGGCCTCTCGTTGCAGCTTTGATGTTCTCAGGTAAGTCATTGCTGGAAGCCAGAAAGGGAAAATGTTTTGCAGGTTCAGGTCCAGGATTTGTTGGGTACAAAATACTAGTCATTCCCCTTTACATTTTGGCTGGGCGGTATGCAGTGACCGGGAGGGGGGGGTCCTCATTTGCCTCCCTCCGTACCTATCTCCTGTCCCTGCTGGAGTCTGCACTAGAGGCTCATTGCTCAAAAACTTGATTAGCAAAAGGGGCTTGAAGAGTCGCTCTGGTTCGGAAGCCTCACAAAGATTACAACTGTTCCAAAATGTTTGCCATGAAACTGTGTTGCCACAAAATAGAAAATATTGCTATACTGCCTTAAGAAATTAATGTCTTATAGATGTTGCAGGCTAAAGCGCACTTTGCAGACAATAAATCTGTTAAGTCTTTAAGTCAGTCTGTAAGGCAACCTTTGCCAAACGGCTGCCCTCTGGATATTATGGACTCCAATTCCCATCATCCCTGACTATGCCTATGCTGCCTGGGCTGGTGGGAGTTGGAGTCCAACATCATCTGGAGGGCACCAGCTTGGGAAAGGCTGCTTAAAGCATTGCAAGTCTCTATGATGTTTCAATATGAAAGTTGTTTGCATGAATTTTGGTCAGAAGAATACTCTGTATGGGAATTATTTGTGGGATTGAGTGTAAGTATGTTTGAACACTTTTAAGGATTGTATGAAATGTATGTTTGTAGGCTTGTGTATCTGTAATATATGTGTATTAATGATGAACTATTTTAACAATAAAAACTTATTATAAAAAGAAGAAGAATCCAACCCAGAGGCACAATGAAAAACAAGCCCAACAAATGGACTTCAACGAGGGCTTCAGGTTTCAGGGCCCTCTACTGTTAACACAGCAGTTTAAGGTAAAGGTAAAGGGACCCCGACCGTTAGGTCGTTGCAAACGACTCTGGGGTTGCGGCACTCATCTTGCATTATTGGCCAAGGGAGCCGGTGTACACCTTCCGGGTCATGTGGCCAACATGACTAAGCCGCTTCTGGCGAACCAGAGCAGCGCACAGAAACACCGTTTACCTTCCTGCTGGAGCTGTACCAATTTATCTACTTGCACTTTGACGTGCTTTTGAACTGCTAGGTTGGCAGAAGCAGGGACCAAGCAACGGGAGCTCACCCCGTCGCGGGGATTCGAACCGCTGACCTTCTGATCGGCAAGCCCTAGGCTCTGTGGTTTAGACCACAGCGCCACCAGCATCCCACTCAGCTTAAGGTAATTGTGCCCAAATAAAAAAGTGCCTAATATGAGTTTGACCAAACTGCAAGAGGCAGTGGAAGACAGGGGTGCTCTGGTCCATGGGTCACGAAAAGTCGGATACAACTAAACAACAACAATCAAAGTGCCTAATTTCCAACCTTTACAACAGACATGTTCTTGCACACCTAAACAAGCGTGCGACATTTATGATGAAGGGCATTTCAAACTTGGATGAAATCACAAGGGACACGGTTGAAACTTGAGCCATTTTATGTAGAGACACATTCTGACACATAAAAGCTACCTAAATCCATAAAGCTCCAGTACCCAGTCACATGACTGAAGCTAATGCTATTTTTCTTGTTTTACATGACCAAAAAACCATCTTCCACCTTGGTTGGAAACCTTCTCCATCTCAACCTCACGGTCACTGGAATGCACCATGGAGCATCCCAAGGCATACTTTAGAGAACAAAGCAGGTTCCCAGGGGCCGGGCCTGATGGATCTTACTCTCACCCTGCGTGAACCAAACACTGAATGTGACTGCACAGTTCAAGAGATCAGTAGTGGTGGGTACTTCAAAGCAACTTGTTGGGACACTACTGATCTTTTTATTCTGGACCCCTGAAAAAGGTTCTGCTGAACTCTAGGGTTTTTCAGTTTGAAAACCAATGGCCTGGATAAAAGTTGTCACAAACACTTGGGCCATTTCTGAAAGTGTTCCCGTGGCTCAAGACAGCAGCAACCTTTGGTCAAACCAACATCCTCCAAAACCACATGAGTGTCTCTAAAGCTCTGACCCCAGTGACAGGCTGTATCCTCAGCCACCCCCCAAACAGAACCTGAAGAAGCAAAACTCACACATCGACAATCAGCACTGATTCTCCCCAGTGTCTGTAGCGAGCCAGGTCCATCAGATACTGTGGGTCAGAAGTTGGCATATCTAGAGAGTCTACAACACGCAGATTATCCTGCAGGCAAAGAGAGAAGAAAAGAGCCGAAGGAAATGAACAGAAGCCTGCCTGCTAAGCTACTTCTCCCATGGTGTTTCTTATGTCTGCAGCTCTCTTCCAGGGCACCTGTGAGGTGTCACAAAAGCCTTTCCTGAAAATCCCAAACAAGTGTTTGTAGCTCAGTGACAGAGCACATGCCTTGCATGCAGAAGGTTGCAGGTTCACACCCCCTTCCCCACCCTGTTAAAAGGATGTCAGAGCTGGAAGAAACACTGTCTGAGTGGTGCAGAGCTACTGCCACTTTGAGTAGACAAAAAGCAACTTGATGGGCCAGTGGTCTGACTCAAGGAAAAGACAGCAGAACTAAAGCTTTCCTCAAATCCTTTGGCTTAACCCTTCAAATTATTCATTCTGAACTAGAACAAAGCCCAATTACATGAAACCTCAGTTGCAGGGATCTGTCATTTCTGCTTACGCTAGTCAGTAAGGCTACATGCACATTGACCACTCTGTATAAAACATTAGCAACAACTACAAAGCAGCAACAATAACAGCTGCCAACTCAGGCAGCCCTTTGTAGGGGAGAGAGAATTTTTCTGCTGCAGCAGATGAGCAGTGGTGCCTTAGCCTACAGGCATTTTTGTTTGTCAGTAAAAGCAGTGGCAAGGGGAAGGGTTCTATTTAAAAAGACAAAAAACCCAAACTCAGACTGAAGTTCTCAGCAGCAGCTCACAAGAGCAAGCATGGAGACAGAAGGCTGACAGTGAATCACTGGCAGGGAGGGAAGCCACAGCAGCTGGTCACTGTTGGAAATGGGAGCACACAAAAAGGGCAAGAGCACAGCATGCAGGCTTCACATGGGCAATGTGGGGAGAGGCTGCCAGAACCAGGAATATCAGAATCTAGTGCTGTTGGCCAGGTCACTGGTTTTTAAACACTGCTATACTGAGGCCCGCAACTGCTTTTCTCCACAGACCATCATATTTTCTTGCCAGCACATGGGATGCTTTTTGGAAGGATTCTGAATTAAATAATCAAATTTCCACACATCTCCTCTGTGATTATGGACTAATTAAAATAAATGTGCATTAAGCAGAGAGCATTCCATATAGCCAGGGGTTTCTTTAGCCACATGTAAACAGGTAGGGGCAAAAATAACATGACAACACTATTTTAAATATATATATATATATATATATATATATATATTTGTGCCAGTCTTTCCCAACTTCATGCTCCAGGTATTCCTCAACCATAACAAGGTGAGAGCCTCCACTGCAGGGTTGTGATGGGTCCTAAAAATTGATGTTTTTATTTTTTACAGAATTTAGTTAATTCTACTCATTGGAATGAATGAAAAAATAAAGGGGGGGGGAAACAATGCAATTAAGGTAGTAGGGCTTAAAATGACCTCAGAAATGCTATTTAAATTATTTTGATCTTCTTAGTGTCTAGCCAGAACCTGCTTGTTCTGTTATGTTAGGAGAAAGGCGCATAAAGGGTAAAAAGCACAATATTTCTCTATTTCCAAAGTAACAAATCATTCACTTTCATTAGCCTCACTACTATCAGGGATCAATAATACCCCCACAGGTTAATGAAGTGCTTTTACAAACCTGATTTGTTCCCTAGTTAGAAATCCTTGCAACCCAACTGTTCCTCTTCATGACTGTTATTATTCTGTGCAAAAAATTGGGTTACTGTGACCCCAATTGCGTCTGCAAAGGACTGCAAGCAACCTGCACCCTCACTGCAACAGGTGGACAGACCTAATGGGTTCTTCAGATTCCCTGTTACAGAACTGCTGTAGAATATACTATGATGATGTTGTTTGGAAACCCTGTAAGTACTATATAAATACTAAGTAATATGACTACTGCTAGACAGAGATATACAAACATAACTACAGAGTCCAGTTCCAGACCTTAAAAAAATAACCATGAGCCAACCCTTCGACCAGTCACAGCCTATTACACTGGTAATAACTCTTTGAATTCACAAAGAATTGTGGCTGTGTGATACCTGTGCCAGTTTGGTTGTCAATGCCACCTTGAGTCCCAGGACACGCATTTTCATGGGGATCATGTAGTAGTAGCTGGTGGGACCACGAGGGCCACAGGCAACACCACCTAAAAGCAAGAGCCAGAGAGGTCTATGGGACGTTAGTGGGAATAAACACATCATCCAATCAATCCAGGAGGGAGGGGGGATTGACAGTTAACGAAACACCATGGGACTGCCCTCCCCGCTTGGGGTGCGGTTGGTTGGGTTTTATCTTCTAGGGATACTTACCCTATCAAAACTTCACCTCTTCCCCATACCATTTTGACCCAGGAGTCCTGGTCCAGGGATGACTTGTTAGTGAGGGGATGTAACCCCTCTATTGGGGAAGGTAGTATAGGGTCTGGGATTTCCACTATTGAAGGGCTAGGGAGGAATGGCGGTGGGGCTAGATATCACTATCGGCGAAGGGTTTTGAGATGCAATGATGCTCGAACCCCTTCCAATCTACGCCCCATCCCAAGGGACGAGGGTAGGGCAAGCAGGGATTACCCACCTCCGTCATTGGTGCTGTGCAATGCCAGGTCCATAGGTAACAAAACCGCCAACATGCGTGACTTTTTTGTCTCGCAGGGGATTGACCTGGCTTGCGTGACAGAGACCTGGGTACGGGAAGGCGAAGTAGTCTCCCTACATGAGATAACACCCCCAGGTTTCTCTGTCCTCCATCAATTGCGGACTGTGGGTCGGGGGGGAGGAGTAGCATTGTTAATCTGGGAGGATTGCTCTTTCAGAACTCTGCCAGCACCGGCGATCTCCGGCATTGAATCTGTTGGTCTCGTGTGGGGCACCAAGGAGAGCTTGGCTGTCTGGCTGGTGTACCGACCACCTAGTGCACCGGCAGCCACCCTGTCAGACCTGCTGGAGGTGGCGGCAGGCTGGGCCTTGGAGTTCCCAAGCCTACTGGTTTTGGGAGACTTCAACGTCCATGCCGATGCCGCTCCCTCCTCACAGGCTCTGGACCTAGTGACTTCCATGGCAACACTAGGGCTCTCCCAGTTTCTTTTGGGCCCCACTCATCAAGCAGGCCACACGCTGGATCTGATCTTTGGTGCTGGCATAGATGAGATCATGCTCCCCTCTGTGGAAGTGCCATGGTCTGATCACTACACTCTGAAAGCCAAGACTGACTTCCCGCTCCTCCCCTGCTCGGGTGGCGAGCCTATCTGGGCTCGCCCGCGAAGGCTGATGGATCCTGATGGATTCCGTCAGGCCTTGCGGGACCCTGCTCCTCCTGGCGACTCATTAGATGACCTTGTCGAGGACTGGAATAACCGGCTCTTGGCAGCCATCGATGAGATCGCGCCTAAGCACCCTCTGCGACCCCGTCAAAACCGGGCTCCTTGGTTTACTGAGGAGCTCCGGAAAATGAAGCGGGATCTCAGACAGCTAGAGCAAATATGGCGACGGACTTGTGACGGAGCCTCAAGAACATCTTATAGGACACTTATGAAAGCCTATGAGATAGCTATGAAAGCTGCTAAGAAATCTTACTTCGCAGCTTCCATTGCATCCGCTAGCTCTCGCCCGGCACAACTTTTTAGAATAATTAGGAGGACAACCAAATTTAAGCCCAGATTCGACCCACAGCTGTGAGGCATTCGTGAGCTTTTTTTGCGGAGAAAGTCCTGTTGCTCCGCCGTGACCTCCCTGCTAATTTAGATACAGTGACTAAACTGGAGGCCCCTCGACTGACTTCGGGTCCAGTGTTGGACCATTTCAATCGGATACTCCCTGCTGATGTGGATAGATTCCTCTAAGTTGGTAGGCCCACCACCTGCCTCCTCGATCCGTGCCTGTCTTGGCTGATTAGAGCGTGTCCAGCTGCTGCGCGGACCCCGCTGGTTGAAATTATCAATTTGTCCCTTGGCACGGGGACATTCCCAGGGGAACTGAAGGAAGCAGTGGTGTGTCCGCTCTTAAAGAAAACTTCACTAGATCCTTTAGACCTATCCAATTACTGCCCAGTTTCAAATCTTCCATACCTGGGTTAGGTAATTGAGAGAGCGGTTGCTGAACAGCTTGGTAGGTTTCTGGAGGAAACATCGGCTTTAGATACATTTCAGTCCGGGTTCCGTCCTGGTTTCGGGACCGAGACAGCTCTGGTTGCCCTAACAGATGATCTCTGTAGACAACTGGATTGAGGTCAGGACTGCTGATCCTTTTAGATTTGTCAGCAGCCTTTGACTTGGTCGATCATGATCTTCTGGACCACCGTCTCGCCGACGTGGGGATACAGGGCATAGCCCATAAATGGCTGTGCTCTTTTATCTCTGGTCGGGGACAGAGGGTGGCACTAGGGAGGGAAATGTTGTCGCGCCACTCCTTGGTGTGTGGAGTGCCACAGGGCGCAATCCTCTCCCTGATGCTTTTTAACATCTTTATGTGCCCCCTTGCCCGGAGCTTTGGGCTGGGTTGTCACCAATGTGCTGATGACACTCAGCTCTATCTGCTGATGGATGGCCACACCGACTCGGCCCCTTACACACTGACCAGATGCTTGGAAGCTGTGGCTGGATGGTTTCGTGGGAGCCGATTGAAACTATATCCTTCGAAGACAGCAGTCCTATGGCTGGGTCGGGATGGCATGGGGATGAGGGACCAACTCCCTTCTCTTGCGGGGGCCCAATTAGTGCCATTGCCTTCCGTTAAAGAGTTTGGGTGTAATCCTTGACACCTCCCTTTCCATGGAGGCGCAGGTTACAGCAACAGCCAAGGCGACATTTTTCCACCTTCGCCGCATCAAGCAGTTGGTCCCTTACCTTTCCAGCCCCGACCTGGCCACAGTGATCCATTCAACGGTCACGTCCAGGCTTGACTACTGTAGTTTGCTCTACACGGGGCTGCCCTTGAAGCTGTCCCAGAAAGTCCAGTGGGTGCAGAATGCTGCAGCGAGGCTCCTCACATGGTCTCTGCCATGGGAGCAAATTCACCCAGTGCTTTTCCAGCTGCACTGGCTCCCAGTGGAGTACAGGGTCAGATTTAAGGTGCTGCTTTTGACCTTTAAAGCCCTTCACGGCCTAGGACCCTCGTACCTACGGGACCGCCTCTCCTGGTCTGCCCCACGGAGACCCTCAAGGTCCATAAATAGCAACACCCTAGTGGTCCCGGGCCCTAAGGAAGTTAGATTAGCTTCAACCAGAGTCAGGGCCTTTTCAACACTGGCTCCGGCCTGGTGGAATGCTCTGCCTCATGAGACCAGGGCCCTGCAGGATCTGATTTCTTTCCGCAGGGCCTGTAAGGCAGAGTTGTTCCGCCTGGCCTTTGGCTTGGAGCCAATTTGATTCCCTCCCCCTCTTTCTTTTTCCTTTCTCCTCCTGTGATGAGGCTGCATTTTAATATTTTAATGTTTCAATATTTTAATGTTGTCTTTTAATCTTGTTTTTAAGTTATATTCACTCAACTTGTTTTTATTATTGCTTTTTAGCCGCCCTGAGCCCAGCCTTGGCTGGGGAGGGCGGGGTATAAATAAAAATTATTATTATTATTATTATTATTATTATTATTATTATCTTGGCTGCACACTAACAGCCTTCTGAAGGGACAGTGTTTGGGCTCTGTTGACACAGCAATGTTTTGGGTATCTGCATCCCAGCCACAAAGGGAACAGCTACTAGTGTCTCCAAGGCTTACAGAGATGACATATCGCACAGTGGTTTGAGATGGAGAGAGAGATCATCACGCACCACCACGCCACAAAGGTGACCGGATACTGCCATGCCGGGCCCGTCCGCTGCCCTTCTGTGCCCAGGGTTTTCTGCCGCCACCACGCATCTCCGCACGAGTCTTTGTGTTGGCATAACTCTGGAATATTAAGGCAGGTGAGACTGGTGTATGCTGCTCTGGCCAAACACAATCAGAATGCTCAAAGTGCTGGGCACAATTTGCCTCAGTAATTCCTACAACAACCTTGTAAGATTGTTGTCCCCAAAGGTGGTAAGGGGTGGGGGCTTAAGCTGAGAAAGAATTGCTTTCTTAGTGGAATTCATGGATGTGGCAAAATGTTAAGGAGTCTTCCCAAGATAAGCAAATTGACTTTTAAATGGACTTTTAACTTCATTATGCAAAGAGTGGCCCTCCCTTTACCACTGCCTATTATTTTGCCCCCTTTCTCCCTGGCAAATTGTCTGCCCCAAATTTCTCCCTGCAAAACTCCCACTGAACAATGTTCTTCCCCATATTGCCCACCAGCTCCTGATCTTCCAATTTCTATACTTACAATTCTCTTAAAGTTCTTCTGCCAGATGGCCACTGTGTGTAGAATATCAACGCTGAGAGGAAAACACACAGACACCAACAAGAAGCAAGTTAGCAAGAGATCTGGGAAATGGGACAGCACCACAGTAATCGTCGTGATGGAAAGCAGTATGGTTAAAATGGTTCAGAATTTAAACACAATATTTTTACACCAGTCCCTTTTGCCACAGTAACTGAAGCCTCCATTTTATCCAAGGGAGAAGATACAGCTGGAGGTGGAGGATACCAATTGAAACCTGGCCTAGGAAAGTCATGAGGAAGTAAGATTTCAACTTCTGTTTTGGTGTTAAATGCTCCCTAACCAGCTTAGCTAATACAGGCAACTCACATTTTAGGCACGACTGATATGTGTGCAATCACACACATGCGCACAGTGGCAAACCCAGAAATATCATCAAAGACGCCACTAAAAGGGCAGAACAGGAGCAGGGGCAGAGAGGGGTGTTTCAATTGCATGCAATTGCATGCAAGAGTGCAATGACCCGAAAAGCAACCCCCACACAAATTGGGAGTTGCCTGTAAGAACAAACTGAAAAGCCCAAACTCCTGAAATGACAGCGCCAAATTTCAGGAACTATTCAAGGCATCTTAACCCTATGGCACATATGGACAGGCCCAGCCTGGTCTATAGGATTGCCAGGTGCTCAACTGAATATGGTTCCTGAAACTTAAGATCTGCATGTCAGCCTTTTATGTATCGTAACCAATACTCCATATCTCTTTTCTGTTACCTATCCCCAACCTTCACCACCATTCCTTGATGCATGAAATGCTTTATGAGAAATCCCCACACCCATTTTTTGACGACTGATGGTCACTTCCAGCCCATCTCTGCAAATGCCTAGTAACTGGTAATCAATTCTTACCGGGGCATTACTGCAAACACATCAGGATGCAAATCTGTCAAGCCCACGTGCCTGGCCTCATAATGCTTCAGGGACTCTACCCAGGCCTGAACAGGTGCAAGGTGTTTGGGGATGGGAATGCTGCATTTCCGTAGGATGGGCTCACTAGAGACGACGGCAGGACACTTTTCTAGAAGGAAACAAGGCGCGGGGGCGGGGGGGGATATGTGCAGGTGTGATTTCGGGCAATCTTGCCTGAAAGAATTTCTTTGAAACTTAAAAGTAAATTCACAAAAGCATTACTCCATATACATTTTTACAAGGCCATATGCACACATTCCTGTTTTATTTATTTGGGACTCATTATTGCAAAGAAGAAAGGTAACATCTTACCCAATTTACAAATGCTTTCTTAATTGTATGCCTAGAGGAAATGCCAGGTGACTCTTTAAAAGCCTGTATTAAGATTGATTCTATTTCAAACCATGACTAGAAAAATATTTGAAATGGCTAGGTGCTATCATCAGATCTCTTTTAGGACATAACTGGACTGAAAATACTGTTTCAAACTTCTAGATATCTGCACTAAATGTTTAGGTAGGCAATCCCTTCCAAGTTTGTCAGCCACATTTTAAGCATTTTAGAGCGTGTAAAGTTGTTACTTGCAGATTACTCTAATGATATCGCCTGAAATCGCCAACTTCCTCAGAAGCAATGGGTTGAGAACTACAGGTGCACACGCAACTGGGATTGATTCTCTTTCAAAAATTTATTCCATTCTTAATCATAGTATGTAGCAGTGATATCTGTTTACTGGAAGATTTTGAATAAGAAAAAAATCTACTACCCTAAATTGATGGTGTTCTTATTTATGTTTGACTCATATTTAGTAAAAAAATAAATAAAACCACACCATATTACTTTCGGGGTGCAACAAAAGTTAGTTTCAATAGCCAGAAACATTTGATTAAATGAAGAAATCAATAAAATACAATGCAATTTTAATTTTATAGTTAAATTCAAAACTTTACTTGGAAATTATTCTTACTGAAATAATTGTGAATATTTTTAAGACACGACAACTTGATAGAATTGTAGAGTTGGAAGGGACCCCAAGGGTCATCTAGTCCAACACTCTGCAATGCAGGAATCTCAACTAAAGCATCCATGACAGATGGTCATCCAACCTCTGTTTAAAAATCTCCAAGGGAGGAGAGTCCACCACCTCTCGTGAGAGTCTGTTCCACAGCTGAACAGCCCTTACCGACAGAAAGTTTTTCCGAATGTTTAACTGGAATCTCCTTTCTTGCAACTTGAAGCCATTTGTTCGAGTTCTACGCTCCAGAGCAGAAAACAAGCTTGCTCCCTCCCCCATGTGACAGCCCTTAAGATATATGAAGATGACTATCATATCTTCTCTCAGTCTCCTCTTCACCAGGCTAAACATACCCAGCTCCTTCAAGCACTCTTCATAAGGCTTAGTTACCAGACCATCGATCATCTTGGTCGCCCTCCTCTGCACATGTTCCAGCTTGTCAAAATCCTTCTTAAATTGTGGTGTGCAGATTTGGACACAGTATTCCAAGTGTGATCTGACTAAGTCAGAATAGAGTGATACTATTACTTCCCTTGATCTGGACTACTGACGCAGCTTAAAATAGCATTAGCTTTTTTGCTACTACATCACACTGATGACTCGTGTTAAGCTTGTGGTCCACCAAGACCCCATGATCCTTTTCACATGTACTGCTAGTAAGCCAGGTGTCCTCCATCCTATATTTGTGCATCTGGTTCTTGCTGCCTAAGTGCAGAACCTTACATTTGTCCCTACTGAAATTCATTTTGTTAGCTTGTACCCAGTTCTCCAATCTGTTAAGATCATTTTGAATTCTGATTTTGTCTTCTGCTACCCTTTCCAGTTTGGTGTTGTTTGCAAATTTGATGAGCATCCCTTCAATTCCTTCATCCAAGTCATTTACAAAGACGCTGAACAACGTATAGCATGCATTTCCCTTACACTGTTTAAATTTAAAAAGTGAATGCACTCAGGACAGTTACCATATTAACTCTAGCATGCTCAAAGAGCTGAATACATAAATGCATGTACTTTCCATGGGGTACTCATGTGAAAAAAAATGACAATATTTATTTTATCTTTGACTGCTAGTAGATCCATTCAGTATGCTGCTAATTACTTGTATTAAATGATGCATTTCTAAAAATGGAATGTTTTCCACCTCACATCACTGTTATGGATCAGGCATTTCTAGCACACTTGATAACTAACAGTACAAGTTTATACATGTCGCATCAGAAGTAAGCTCCACTGAGTTCAATGGGACTCACTCTCAAGTGTGTAAAGGATTACAACCATTCCCCAGTGAGGAAGTTCTAATGTTCTGCCAACAATTCTCACTGCGCCTGACAATTGGCCATGCAATCGATGGAATCTGGATGCCCTGCAACATCTAGAGGCAACAAGTCTGTTCTAGTCATGAAAAGGCCTTACCTTTTAATGAAGCTACATCCGTCACACTAGCTGAAACACCAGGGTTGCCTAGAAATCCTGTCTGGTTCGATAATGTACACAAAGGCTAGGGGAAGAAATAAAAATGGAGTAAGATATCTGAAGGTACCGACAGCTCAATCAAGATAGCTCCTGTAAATGGCTGCTCATTTATCACGGAGATGGCTTATGCTTGGATCTTTAGACAGAATGCCAACCTGGTGCCACCTCTCTCAACTTAGCCCCAAATCCAGTTTTCCCATGGGGTCATTTGAGATAACCTGTACTTTTCACTGTGCACCTTCACAGTCCTAATGAAATACAGAAAAAGGCTAGCCTTGCAGATGTTTACCACAGTGTAATTCCACTAAACTGATGCATAGGGATTAGGCTGTAACTAAGGAATGCATAACTTTTTTTTATCATATTAATCCCATTATCCTTACCATCATCCTTCCTCTTTAACACCCCCACACTACTGAAATGTACATATATGCTCACTGAGGCAGAGGCCTGACATTTTTCCTTATTTCTCCTTTTCTTTTGCTTATGTTGCTTTGTAAAGTTCACTTGTGATGCTGTATATAAAAATGAGTGACAATACATTGATGCTTTTCGATACATGTGCTCACCATACTGTCAAAATGTTATGACTTTGCCCTAAACTCCTTTTAGTGGCACAGTGCAAAAAAGATAGCACTCCCTGTCATGAAAGCTCTCTCTGCCTCATATGTTGGATCTCCGAAAATGCTTTTGATGCGTAGTCCCCACAGACATCAAGGATGCTTTGGGTATCTCAGGACTGGAGTGGATTGGGTTTGCATAGCAGGTGGATGTGCTGTGCAATCAAGTGAAGACTCAGAAAATTCTAAAAGACAGCACTATGCACTTCTTTACACAGCTGCAAGTACATCTGCACAGGGCTTCACCTTGTTCTTGTTCCCTCTGTGGCTATATTCACATGTATGGAGAACAACTGACTGAATATAAAAAGTAAGATTCAAGACAAGGCAAAGAAACTCCCTTTTCACACAAAAATAATGAACTTGCTGCTGTGATATGTGGTGATCAACACTAACATGTTTTTTTTTCAAACACTCTTTGTTAACATAGTTTGTTGCACATAGTTTAGAAACCAATAAAGCAAACATAATGGGGGATGGTGAATCACATTTTGATGCACAATAGACATAAATAATGTAAGTGGCTAGTGTATCTTATGCTTCACAGAACAAATACAAAGATAGGGAATGAGCTGAAAAGAAGGAAAAATGGGGATACTTAAAATATTGATATAACTACAAAAGTAATACTATCTTCACATATTACATATGTCTGTGAAGCCTGTCAAGGAGTGTAGCAGCTTTGCCCTGTTCACATATTCAATAAGATCTCTCCAAAACACCCCAAAGGCTTCTGGCTTAACCCTACCAGCCCTCTCCAATGCTGCCTTCTACTTCTGAACCATGGTAGTACGTGCTGCCATGAATAAAAAAATCAATAGCGTCTTCAATTTTATTTCCTCGTTTCCATAGCCATGGGCATGCCATTCCAATGGTGTGCAGGCACAGCGTCTTGTGATTATGTGGCGTGAGGCTTACCAGGGCCCATGGGGGTAGCCAAGGGGGGTAGATGCCCCCCTAATTCAATAAAAAATACTTAACTGAGGTTCTCCCCGCCCAAAAAAATCCGGCCTAGGCCCATGCCAGCCTCCCCCGCCATATTTTATTCCAGTTGGGGCCCCGGCTCGTTTCTATCCCCAAATATTGACAGCAGCGCCAGCCGAAGTCCAGCCTCAAGCCGCTCGCCAAGTACAACCCTTATTTCATTTCCAGCCGCCCGAGCGCGCTCCCGCCTGAGTGGCTTTCCGGAGGCGGGGGGGGGGAGGCCCCCGCTTCCCCGGAGCCCCGCAGCTCCCTCGCGCGCGCCCCGCCGCCTCACCCGCCAAGCGACTCCCCGACGCGGCAGCGACGCGCAAAGCCGGAGCATCGCAGCAGCCCCTCTCGCGCCTGCCCGCGGGCAAACACAGAGCATGCGCACTAAAAAAAAGCTTTCGTCCCTGGCCGATGACGTCAGGTGCGAAAGGGGCTTTGCTTCATCTGGGCGCGCAGGAATTTTCATGAGAGTGAAAAAAGGCGCCACGCGACGGACCCTTCCGCTCTAGGAACGGCTTTCCCTACTTCCGCTTCCGGTGCTTAGCGGGCTCGTCAGTGTAGAAAGAGACGAGGGACAAGGCATTTCCGCTCTCTGGGGCCCGGAATCCTAAGAGACGAGAAAGCAAACAAATGGTCGACTCGTTTCTGTGCAAGATGGCGCCTGGTGACGCCTCTCGTGTTCTCGTTTGTTTCTCACCCGCAGAGCTTTCCGGGCTGCCTTGCGCAGGAACCGTCGTCTCCCCGGCTGCCTCTTGGCTTGGTCGTGAGGCGAAAAAGGAAGCGGGGGGGGGGGCGCAATTGGGGCCGCCCCTCCTCTGGACGAAGAGCGGAAGAAAACCACAAGAATAGAGGGATGACGATGATAAACGAGAAGGAAGTGTGCTGAGCCTGCAAGGAGGAGCGAGCGGGTGCTGGGCATCTGCTCCTGCCGGGTGCGGAGGCTGCGTCGGACGCCCCAGCCTGCCTGCCTGCCCCCCTCCCTGGGAAGGCCAACACACACGCACTTGGCAGCCTTTATAAATACAGCCCTAAAGACTTGCCTTCTACTCTACTGTTGTTGCATTTTGGAGGCTGTCCGGAAGGCACCCTCGTGTGGGGGGGGTGTACTCCTTATTCATACCCCAAGTATTTAATGAGATGCAGAACACCAGTTTTCTCACAGTTCACAAACTGCCTAACACACTTTGGAAACTTACTCCCTTAATAGCACAGCCATAAGTGTCCACTCAAAAGGGAAAGTTTCACACTTTCTTGCAGAAAACTGATTTTCTAGATCCATTTCAATCAGTTTTGGTACAAAAACTGCTTTGGCCACACTGTATGATTACCTCTGTCAGGAGAGAGACAATGGAAATATGTCCTTGTTAATTCTCAACCTCTTAGCTTTCAATACCATCAAGCATGGTATCCTTCTGGAGTGGCTGTCTGAGTTAGGGGTGACTGGCACTGCTTTGCACTGGTACCAGTCCTAATTGGAAGATATGCTTGTGCAGTGCTCTTCAGCCCCATTGAGACTTCAATGTGGGGTCTTCAGGGTTTAGTTTTATCCCTTACACCACAGGTTTTCAACCTTTGAGTACACGGCTCCCTTGACTAACTACTGATGTAAACAGAACTGGGGGGGGGGGGGAGTTCCCCCCTTCACATTCCTGTAACCTACTGTTAATAAAGTGTGTGCCCAAGGACTAACAGAATAATGTATGTCCTTGAAATAATCATGTAACACTGTATTCTATGAATGAGTTCTCTAATGAATTCAATGAATGTCTCTAAAGGGATGCTTAAGAAATACCCTATGAAATAATGTAACAACAAAGTGAGAACTTATGTGTATATATGTAAAAATTGTTGCCATTATGACATGTCCGATATAGGCAGCCCCACACTGCCATCTATTGAGTCTACGCCAGGGGTTGTCAACCTGGCCCCTACCGCCCACTAGTGGGCATTTCAGGATTCTAGGTGGGCAGGAGGGGGTTCTACAGCACAAGCTGAATACAGTGGACGCTCCGGTTGCGAATGTGATCCGTGCGGGATGCACATTCGCAACCCGCAGCGGTGCGTCTGCGCACGTGCAGGTTGCTATTCGGTGCTTCTGTGCATGTGCAAAGCATGATTTAGCACTGTATCAGGAAATTTTAAATTTCTAGGGACTTCCAGGGTCAGCGCCATCGGTAATGGCGGAATTCCTCTGACTAGTAGGAATTTGCTCTGTGGGAACCGGGTCTGGCCGTCACGGCGGAGACCCTTCAAAAATCACAGGCGGGTGAAGCCTGTGAACGTGGGATTCGGCGGGCACCTTTCGCGCGCCCCCTACTCGTGGGGAACCCCAATTTTGGGGCTCCGGAGCGAAGCGGGGTGAGTGGCGCGGTGCTGTGAATCGACTGCTTTTTCCACGGAGCGAAGCCGCACAGCCGTTGCCGGAGAGCGCTAACTTTTTCCTGTGGACAATTGGATTTTTAAAGCAACTACCCGTGAGTAGGATAAATTGGAAGTTTTTAAAGGAAAAAAAGATTTAATTTGGCACTGAAGCGGGGAGGCTCAAACAGGAAGTCCGCCTTCCGTTTTTGTAAATAGATCAAAGCAAAGAGCTTGCAAGCTAAAATCTTGGAAAATCGATCGGAAAGGACTAATTTCTCAACATTAAAAAGGAAAGCAGGAGAAGAGGGGGGAAGTTTGACTATATATACCTGCAAGAGAGAGGGAAGGAAGCTAAAATTCCACCGCTCAGAACCTGGGAACGGGCTGCCAATAGGACAATAAGACTGCTGTATTCTGAAATGCGTTTTGACTGTGAAAAGACCATCCGCTGACAGCTAGCTGAGTAAGAGAGATACATTGTTTTTAGCTGTTCCCCTTTGATCTTAAAAAGGAGAAAAGTAACTGAAAAGCAACTGAAAATGGAAACTTACTTTCTTGTTTGAGTTGTGTTTTAAAGGGTGTTATTTTGGATTAATGCAAGAACAGATATCAATTGTTTCCCCCTAGAGGAAGTCTCTGAAACTGTTACAAGAGTTGGATCAGGGGAATTTTCCATTGTTAAGATAAAGCTGTGTGACTGTGCGACTCACCTTGGGTTTCTTTTTGTTTTTTTTTTAAAAAAGTGTTATGGCAGATGGGAAAGAAAAAGTAGATCCATCATTCCCAGACAAAACAACAAGGTCTGGGAAGCTTTGGCAGCGAAGAGCGTCTGCATCCGGCCCTTCTGCCTTATCCGTGGCTGTACCAACACAACCTAAATCAAGAGGAATGTCATCAGAAGAAGCCCTAGCGCTGGCATTGAGTAAGATAAATGAATCATTCCTGTATATCATTTTCATAATATTCTCTCTTAGGGCATTACATGCCGTAAACTTCATACCTGTGGTCCACAACGTCTTGTGCCCATTTAATCATAGCAGATTTCACCGTTTCATCCTGAGTATTCCATTTCAACAGCAAGTTATACATCTTTGACAAAATCTTAGTTTTGGGTTCTAACAATTCTGTTTCTAATTTTCGTTTTTCCACCTGGAAGCCAATTTTCTTGTCCAAATTGTATGCCTCCATTATCTGATAATAATGAAGCCAGTCTCGCACTTTGTTTTTTAATTTTTCAAAACTCTGCAGTTTCAATCTATCTCCATCTTGTTCCAAAATTTCCCAATATTTCGGCCAATTGACCTCCATATTGAGCTTTTTCAGAGCTTTCACTTCCATCGGTGACAGCCACCTTGGTGTTTTATTTTCCAATAAATCCTTATATCTTATCCAGACATTAAACAATGCTTTCCTGACAATATGGTTTTTAAATGCTTTATGTGCTTTGACCTTATCATACCACAGATATGCATGCCATCCAAATACATTGTTAAAACCTTCTAAATCCAAAATGTCAGTGTTTTTAAGAAGCAGCCATTCTTTCAACCAGCAAAAAGCTGCTGATTCATAATAAAGTTTGAGGTCTGGCAGGGCAAATCCACCTCTTTCCTTTGCATCTGTTAATATTTTAAATTTTATTCTGGGCTTCTTGCCCTGCCAGACAAATCTAGAAATATCTCTCTGCCACCTCTTGAAACAGTCCATTTTGTCCACAATTTGCAATGTTTGAAACAAAAACAACATTCTAGGCAATACATTCATTTTTACCGCAGCAATACGGCCCAGCAGCGAAAGCTTCAAATTTGACCAAATTTCTAAATCTTTTTTCACTTCAGCCCAACATTTTTCATAGTTATCTTTAAATAAATTCCCATTTTTTGCTGTCATGTTAATCCCCAGGTATTTAACTTCTTAACCACTGTTAAACCTGTCTCATTCTGAAACCTCTCTCTCTCCATTGGTGTTAAATTGTTCTCTAAAACCTTAGTTTTTAATTTATTCAATTTAAACCCTGCAACTTGACCAAATTCTTGAATCAGTTCTAAAACCCTTTTGGTACTAGATTCTGGCTCCTGTAACGTCAGTACTAAGTCATCTGCAAATGCTCTCAATTTGTACTGTTTGGCTCCGACCTGTATACCTTTAACCAACTGGTCCCTTCTAATCATGTTCAGCAAAACCTCCAGGACCGAAATAAAAGCAGTGGGGAAATTGGGCAACCTTGTCGTGTCCCTTTTTCTATCTTAAATTCTTCCGTCACCACATTATTTACAATTAATTTAGCCTTTTGTTCTGAATAAATTGCACTTATACCGTTTTCAAAGCCTTGGCCTACCCCCATACCCTGTAGGTTCTTCTTCATAAAACTCCAAGAAATGTTGTCAAAAGCTTTCTCCGCGTCCACAAATATCAAAACTACTTTTTCCAAAATATCAATTATATTCCTCAAATTGTCAGACAAGTGTCTTCCCGGGAGAAAGCCCGCTTGGTCTTTATGAATCTCTTCCATCAACACTTTTTTCAGTCTCTTAGCCAAAATGTCTGCAAAAATTTTGTAATCCACATTAAGTATGGGGCGGTAGTTCTTAAGCTGCGTCTTTTCAGTCTCTGTTTTCGGTACAAGTGTGATATAAGCTTCTTTCCACGACTGGTGCCCTTTTCCCCTCCATTATTTCATTACAGACCTCTTTCAAAGGTTGTACTAGCCATTCTTTCAAGGATCTGTAATATCTAGAAGTCAGTCCATCCGGTCCTGGAGATTTACCCAATTGCATGTTTTGAATGGCACCTTCTATCTCCTGTTCAGTTATTTTATAGTTCAACATTAATTTATTTTCTTGAGAGATTTATTGTAATCCATTTGTTTTCAAAAATCGATCTAGATCAGTTTCTTTCAGTGGCCCTTGTGTATATAGTTGTTTAAAGTACCTCTGGAAACAATTTCTAATCTCAGCTGGGTTCTGTATATTCCTTCCTTCCACTTCTAAATTTGTAACTGTATTTAATTTTTGTCTTTTTTTCATTTGCCAAGCCAACAATTTCCCACATTTGTTAGCCGACTCGAATGTCTTTTGTCTCATTTGTTTAATTTTCCATTCTATCTCCTGATTCATCATTTTCATATATTGCACTTGATATAACTTTATTTCTCTCAAAATCTCTTGAGACTTTGGTTTTATTCTCAATCTTTTTTCACTTTCCTTTATTTTCTCCAATATTTTATCCTTCTTCTCATTTTGGATTCTCTTCTTTAATGCATTCTGTTGTATCAAGAAACCTCTCATAACAGCTTTGCTTGCGTCCCAGATTACTCTTTTTTCCACATTGGTGCTCATATTTATCTCAAAATAGTCTCTCAAGGTTTTTTGGGCCTTCTTAAGCACTTCTTCATCTCTAAATAAGGTGTCATTCATCCTCCATCTAAAGGAGCCAGTTGGTGTTAATTTCATTTCCATCTTGACAGCATTATGGTCGGAGCAGGTTTTTGGGCAGGTTTCCACTTTTCTTGTCTTTGGTGCCATTCCTCTAGTTACCCATATTTGGTCAATTCTTGTCCATGTCATTTTGGCTTCAGAAAAGAAGGTTCCCTCTTTAGCCATGGGGTTCCTTGTTCTCCAAATGTCAACTAAGTCCAAGTTGTCTGTCATCTCAAAAAAAGTTTTCGGTAGTCTACCATCTTTAGTGACTACCTGTCTTTGTGCCTTGTCCATATGTGTAGATACCACTCCATTCATGTCTCCCATCAAAATCATGTTGTAATCCAAATAGTCCATCAGGGTCTCATGCAAGAATAAAATTTAAGATATTAACCAATGCTAAAGAAAGAGGTGGATTTGCCCTGCCAGACTTTAAACTTTATTATGAATCAGTCGCGTTTTGCTGGCTGAGAGAATGGCTGCTTCTTGAAAATACTGACGTGCTGGACTTAGAAGGTTTTAACAACGTATTTGGGTGGCATGCATATTTGTGGTATGATAAGGTTAAAGCACATAAAGCGTTTAAAAACCATATTGTCAGAAAAGCACTGTTTAATGTCTGGATAAGATATAAGGACTTGCTTGAAAATAAAACCCCAAGGTGGTTGTCACCAATGGAAGCGAAGGCTCAGAAAAAGCTCAATATGGAGGCCAATTGGCCGAAATATTGGGAAATTTTGGAACAAGAGGGAGACAGATTAAAACTGCAGAGTTTTGAAAAACTAAAAAATAGAGTGTGAGACTGGCTCCATTATTATCAAATAATGGAGGTGTACAATTTGGATAAAAAAATTGGCTTCCAGGTGGAAAAATCAAAATTGGAAACAGAATTGTTAGATCCCAAAACTAAGAACCTGTCAAGAATGTATAACTTGCTGTTGAAATGGAATACTCAGGATGAAACGGTGAAATCAACTATGATTAAATGGGCACAAGATGTAGGACATAATATTATGATGGCTGACTGGGAACAGTTATGGACCACAGGTATTAAGTTTACGGCATGTAATGCCTTAAGAGAGAATATTATGAAAATGATATACAGGTGGTACATGACCCCAGTCAAGCTTGCAAAAATATATCACTTGCCCGATAATAAATGTTGGAAATGTAAAGAGACTGAAGGAACATTTTTTCACCTTTGGTGGACGTGCCCAAGGATTAAGACATTCTGGGAGATGATTTATAATGAAATGAAAAAGGTATTTAAATATACCTTCCTGAAGAAACCAGAGGCCTTTCTCCTGGGCATGGTCGGCCAATTGGTGCCAAAAAAGGATAGAACTTTCTTTATGTATGCTACAACAGCAGCAAGAATACTCATCGCAAAGTATTGGAAGACACAAGATCTACCCACCCAGGAAGAATGGCAGATGAAGGTGATGGACTACATGGAACTGGCGGAAATGACTGGCAGAATCCAAGACCAGGGAGAAGAGTTGGTGGAAGAAGATTGGAAGAAATTTAAAGTTTACTTACAGAAACATTGTAAAATTAAGGAATGTTAGAAGGATGTTGGAATGAAGTAATGTGGTTTTAGCAGAGATGCTGTAAAGGATTAAGAAAAAATAGATTGTTAAATGGTGAAAGGAGGTAAAGTAAAGTTACACTATATTAAGATAAAATAGAGGACAAAAACTGGAAAAGATGGAAAGGATTTGCTGAAATAGCTAATTGAACTAGAATACAAAAAAGGGAGGTGTGAGGAGGTCAAGGAAATAAGCAAATGAAAGATAAGTTATGAGAAGATTCATTGTATTTTTTTATTTTTTTCTCTCTTTTTCTTCCTTTTTTCTTTTTTTTCTTTATTGTGATGTGATGTTCTGTTTTTGCTTAGTATGCTGTTTTTTGTTTTTTATTTTTGTAATCTTTCAAATCTTAATAAATATTATTTAAAAAAAAAAAAATTTCTATTTAAAAAAAAAGATTTTGTGCTGTAAGCTGCCCAGAATGGGTGGGGTATAAATAAATAATCACCTCGGAAGTTGAGTCTGCCCTCCAAAGCTGGCTAATTGATGCTCCAGGCAAGCCAATAGAACTCACCAGCAGGTACTCACCATGAAGTTGTTACACTAAGTGCCACACTTTTTACATTTGGGGGGAAAGGTGCCAGTATGGTATACTCTTGAGTACCCCCAGAAAAAGCACTGATAAGGTCATAGAACTGTAAATTTGGAAAGGACCCTAAGGGTCATCTAGTCCAACCCTCTGCAATGCAAGAACCACAACTAACCAACCTCATCCTCATGCAATGCAGGAATCACAGGTAAGTTGCAGTCCGTAACTTTTTACTTTGTTTAACTTACAAGAGCAAAAGGATTCTTACGAACCAGGAATCATCTGAAAAGTTTGCTTCAAAGGGCTGCCCAAACTTTTTCAAGAGCCATTATGGCCTAGGATCTCCAGGCCTTCCTCATAGAATCATAGAGTTGGAAGAGACCACAAGGGCCATCGAGTCCAACCCCCTGCCAAGCAGGAAACACCATCAGAGCACTCCTGACATATGGTTGTCAAGCCTCTGCTTAAAGACCTCCAAAGAAGGAGACTCCACCACACTCCTTGGCAGAAAATTCCACTGTCAAACAGCTCTTACTGTCAGGAAGTTCTTCCTAATGTTGAGGTGGAATCTTCTTTCTTGTAGTTTGGATCCATTGCTCCGTGTCCGTTTCTCTGGAGCAGCAGAAAACAACCTTTCTCCCTCCTCTATGTGACATCCTTTTATATATTTGAACATGGCTATCATATCACCCCTTAACCTCCTCTTCTCCAGGCTAAACATGCCCAGCTCTCTTAGCCGTTCCTCATAAGGCATCGTTTCCAGGCCTTTGACCATTTTGGTTGCCCTCCTCTGGACACGTTCCAGTTTGTCAGTGTCCTTCTTGAACTGTGGTGCCCAGAACTGGACACAGTACTCCAGGTGAGGTCTGACCAGAGCAGAATACAGTGGCACTATTACTTCCCTTGATCTAGATGCTATACTATTGATGCAGCCCAGAACTGCATTGGCTTTTTTAGCTGCCGCGTCGCACTGTTGGCTCATGTCAAGTTTGTGGTCAACCAAGACTCCTAGATCCTTTTCACATGTACTGCTCTCTAGCCAGGTGTCACCCATCTTGTATTTGTGCCTCTCATTTTTTTGCCCAAGTGCAATACTTTACATTTCTCCCTGTTAAAATTCATCTTGTTTGTTTTGGCCCAGTTCTCTAATCTGTCAAGGTCGTTTTGAAGTGTGATCCTGTCCTCTGGGGTGTTAGCCACCCCTCCCAGTTTGGTGTCATCTGCAAATTTGATCAGGATGCCCTTGAGTCCATCATCCAAGTCGTTGATAAAGATGTTGAATAAGACCGGGCCCAAAGAAAGAACCCTGTGGCACCCCCCTAGTCACTCTTCTCCAGGATGAAGAGGAACCATTGATGAGCATCCTTTGGGTTCGGTCAGTCAGCCAGTTACAAATCCACTGAGTGGTAGCATAGTCAAGACCGCATTTTACCAGCTTCTTTACAAGAATATCATGGGGCACCTTGTCAAATGCCTTGCTGAAATCAAGGTAGGCTACATCCACTGTGTTCCCTTCATCTACCAGGCTTGTAATTCTGTCAAAAAACGAGATCAGGTTAGTCTGACATGACTTAATGATCTGCTCCAGAATCTTCCCTGGTATTGATGTCAGACTGACTGGGCGGTAATTATTTGGGTCCTCTCTTTTCCCCTTTTTGAAAATAGGGACAACATTTGCCCTCCTCCAGTCTGCCGGGACTTCGCCTGTTCTCCAGGAATTCTCAAAGATGACTGCCAGTGGTTCTGAGATCACATCTGCCAGTTCTTTTAATACTCTTGGATGCAGTTCATCTGGCCCTGGAGACTTGAATACATCTAAACTAGCCAAGTATTCTTGAACTGTCTCCTTAGTTATTCTGGGCTGTGTTTCCTTTGCTGAATCATTTGCGTCAAATTCTTCAGGTCGGGCATTGTTTTCTTTATCGGAGAAGACTGAGGCAAAGAAGGCATTGAGGAGTTCAGCCCTTTCTGTGTCCCCTGTTTGCATTTCACCATCTTCTCCTCTGAGTGACCCCACTGTTTCTTTGTTCTTCCTTTTGCTACGAACATACCCATAAAAGCCTTTTTGTTGCTTTTAACCTCTCTAGCAAGCCTGAGTTCATTCTGTGCTTTAGCTTTTCTGACTTTGTGTCTACACGTGCTGGCTATTTGTTTGAATTCCTCTTTGGTGGTTTCCCCCCTTTTCCATTTTTTTGTACACATCCTTTTTTTAATCTTAACTCAGTTAAAAGTTCTTTAGATAGCCACCCTGGCTTCTTTAGGCACCTTCCATGTTTCCGTCTCATTGGTATTGCCTGAAGTTGTACTTTTATTATCTCCCTCTTAACAAACTCCCAGCCATCATGAACTCCCTTTCCTTTTAGTATTACTGTCCTTGAGATCTCACCCAGCACTTCCCTAAGTTTTATGAAGTCGGCTTTCTTAAAGTCAAGAAATTGAGTCCTAGTATGCTTGGCTGCTCCTTTCCACTGTATAGTAAACTTCAGAAGAGCATGATCACTCGCGCCTAATGATCCTTCCACTTCTACCCCACTAACCAGGTCATCAACATTGGTTAGGACCAGATCTAAAATGGCTGTTCCTCTTGTTGCTTCTCCCACTTTCTGCACAATGAAGTTGTCTGCAAGGCCAGTGAGGAATCTGTTTGACCTTATGCTCTTGGCTGAGTTTGACATCCAACAAATATCCGGGTAATTGAAGTCCCCCATTACTACTATCTCCCTTCCTTTTGCATGCTTGGCCATCTGTTCCAGGAAGGCATCATCTATGTCCTCCGTTTGGCTTGGGGATCTATAGTAAACTCCCACAATGAGGTCACTGTTATTCTTCTCTCCCTTCATTTTGACCCAAATGCTCTCACTTTGGCTTTGAGGTTCTAAATCTTGGATCTCTTCACAGGTATACACATCCCTGACATATAACGCCACTCCTCCTCCTTTCTTGTCTGGTCTGTTTCTCTGAAATAGATTGTATCCCTCCATTATTACATTCCAATTGTGGGACTTATCCCACCAGGTTTCAGTGATGCCTATTATGTCATATTTAGTTTGCTGTACCAAGAGCTCAAGCTCATCTTGTTTATTTCCCATGCTTTGCGCATTAGTGTACAGACACTGAAGTCCATTAATCATTCCCCCATGTCTCTTATTTAAGGATGTTTTCCTCCCACCAGCTTCTCCACAAGAATGTAATGCCTCAAATTACATAGAATTGTAGAGCAGGGGTCAGCAAACTTTTTCAGCAGGAGGCCGGTCCACTGTCCCTCAGACCTTGTGGGGGTCCGGACTATATTTGGGGGGGGGGAGAGTGAATGAATTCCTATGCCCCACAAATAACCCAGAGATGCATTTTAAATAAAAGTACACATTCTACTCCTATAAAAACATGCTGATTCCCAGACCGCCTGCGGGTAAGATTTAGAAGGCGATTGGGCCGGATCTGGTCCCCGGGCCTTAGTTTGCATACCCATGTCGTAGAGTATCAAAGAGAATGGAGTCCTAGGAAGGGAGTTTCTTAAAGATAAAATATTGAAGGCACAAATGCAAACAATTCCAACAAGATAGAAAAGTGGGAAGCGTCTAAAAAGAATGGTGTGGCTGTATAAGGAGTTTATAGATCAGCTGAGATTTAAGAAGGGTAAGCTGTGGGTGTAGTGTATCTATATCTCAGTAAGGCTTTTGACAAAGTCCTTCATTACATTCTTGTGGAGAAGCTGGTAAAATGTGGACTAGACGGGGTAACTGTTGGGTAGATTGGCAGCTAGTTAACTTTCCAAACCCAAAGAGTGCTCACAAATGATTTCTCATCATCTGGGAATAAAGTGACAAATGGAGTGCCACAGAGTTCTGTCCTGGGACTGTTCAATGCCTTTATAAATGGATGAATCAAATTTCAAGATGACACCAAAGTGGGAGGGGTAGCTAAGGCCACAGAAGATAAAACTGGGATTAAAGACAACCTTAACAGTTTGGAGAACTGGGCCCAAACTAACAAAATGAATTTCAATAGGGACAAATATAAGCTGCTGCAGTTAGGCAGGATGAACCAGATGCACAAATATAGGATGGGGGATACCTGGCTTACTAGCAGTACATGTGAAAAGGATCTAGGAGTCTTAGTAGCTCACTAGCTTAACATGAGTCAACAGGGTGATGCAGCAGCAAAATAAGCTAATGTTATTCTAGGCTGTATCAACAGAAGCTGGGTGCCACGATCAAGGGAAGTATGAGTCCTGCTCTATTCTGCCATGGTCAGACCACAATTTAAGAAGGTTATTGACAAGCTGGAATGTGTGCAAAGGAGGGTGACCAATATGATCAAGGGTTTGGAAACCAAGTCTTATGAGGAGCACTTGAAGGAACTGGGCATGTTTAGCCTGGAGAAGAGAGTGAGAGGTGATAGGATTGCCATCTTCAAAAATCTACAGGGCTGTCTCATGGAAGATGCAGCAAGCTTGTTTTTTCCTGCTTCGGAAGCTAGGACCTGAAGCACAGACCCTTCAAGTGTCCCTATTTTCCAGGGGCGTCCCTGATTTAGAGAAGCTGTTCCAGTGTCTGATTTGATCCCGTAATGCCCCACTTTCCCTTAGATGTTCCTATTTTAATTGGAGAAATGTTGGAGTGTATGGAGTTATCCGACCCCCACACTGTCTGAAGGCAGTCCTGTATAGGGAAGTTTTTTAAATGTTTTATTATGTTTTTATATATGTTGGAAGCTGCCCAGAGTGGCTGTGGCAACCCAGTCACATGGGTGGGGTATAAACAGTAAAATTATCATCATGGAATGGGATGTCCCTATTTTCATCGGAGAAATGATGGGCAGTTTGGAACCAATGAC